GTGGCCACAACAATGGACTTGAGCATACCAACAATCATGAAGATGGCATAAGACCAGGCAACGTTTCATTCTGTTGTACATGGGTTTGCCATGAACCGAAGCCAACTCAGTGGCAACCTAACAACAATAGTACTTATGTGTCATTCTTCCAAAAAACATTAACAAAATTACGATAGTAGAAATGCTTCTACTGGGGGAAAAAAAAGTAAAAATCAACCTTTTCTTTGAGTATCAACATCACATTTAGGTTTATATCTAACTGACCTGATTATATAAAAACTTATAGCCAATATTATTCACTTATAATATCAAGAAGATTATCGAAGTAGAAAAACACTGGATCATGCACTCCCCTACTTAAAACTCTCCAAGAGCATCTCACCACACTTTAAAGGAAACACTTTTAAAATCCTACCGAAATCTACCAGTCCCTCTCTGATTCTCTAATGTTATCTCGCTCGCCTCTGCCCCAGCATATGGCACTCCAACCACACTGGCGTTCTTTCTGTCCCCAGGCTTACCACCCCACCCTCTGATCTTTCTGCAATACTCTGTTTACAGCTTTTTGAGTGGATAGTTCCTTCTCACCCTTCAGGTCACCTCCTCTGAGGGGCTTCCTCTGACCATTCGATCTAATTAAGTCATGCTTCACTGGTCCCTTTCTGTCATATCACCTTTATTTCCTTCAAGCAGTCTCATTATCTGAAACTAACTCATTTATCTACTTGTTTATTACCTGTCCCCAACCTTCTAAAACATAAGCTCATAGGGGCTGGGGCCTTATCTGTTTTGTTCAATGTTACATACCCAATGACTAGAATATTGGCTGGCACATAGTAGGTGATGAATAAATATTTAATAAATGAATAAATCTTCAGAGATACCTACTATTTTTATCAGCATTAGAATATTCTGCTGCTGAAGTGCAGGGCACACAGATGCTCTCTGTTATCAGTCACTGTGGAATGCCATGCCTCAAGAATGTTAACGATGAAATCTCACACCCTCTGAGTTCTATAATAAAGCTGATGTAAAGCTAAATATTCAAGCAGCACAGGATCAGTGAAACTCTCAACAAAACAGGGATTAACTCTGAAGCATGATGACAAGTCACTGTAGTTTAACATTAGACTTCCAGTGCAGATTGTCTAAGCACAGAAATCATAAGCTGTAGAGACTGCTTCAGTCAAGGTCAGGTCAGTACTCTATTTGGCCAGTAGGTGGTAGTTTTTTGCTGAGCAGTGTGGTAGTGGTGTCGTACAACACTGACTACACCACAAGTTGCGTAAAAATACAGTTTGGGGGAGTTATTAAGGGCTACTTAGTTTCTGCTAAGGGTGATAAAAAAATTGGAAAAGCATAGTGGTTATGGTTGCACAACATAGTGAACATAATTAATGTCAATGAATCGTACTCATAAAAAAATGCTGAAATTGAAAACGTGTACACACACACACCCCCACATATATGTATGTGGGGGTGTGTGGGTGTGTGTGTGTGTTTACCAAAATAAAAATAAAATAGTTTTCGTAAGATACAAATCAGTGTTTTTCAAACCAAACAATTTACTAACATGGTATATGACTAAATGCCCAAAGTCCTACACAAACAGCCATACTCAGAATTCTAGTCTCTACCTCCCAACAACACTCTGTATGGAATGGAAAAAAAAAGAAAATACCTTGTAACCATTTGCTACCAAAACAAACAAACAAAAAAGAGCATGGTGACTGTTATTCACACAGTCTGTTTTCAAAGATGATAATCTGATCACACTCAGGAGTGGGAATTTTATATTGTGAAAATGTATAAACAGTAAGCCTGACGGTAACAGTAAGTATATTAAGGGGAGTTTTCAGAAGGGTCTGCAAATACCAGTGGCTAACGAGTAAACAACATAAATACCTTGTTTACTAGAGAAAAAGCCTGGGTCTCGGTGAAAGTTGAGTCTGTTTCTTAAGTTTGTGCACAGCTGCTGCAAGCATGACATGGACTGCAGAGCCAGGCGATGCTTCCCATCTCCTCCAAAAGCCAGCTTCAGCAGAGATAAAAGGCCCTGGAATAAAGACAGCATAGAAAATGATTGAGGAAACAAAGTGCTTGACTTTAAAGAAGGGAGCGGAGCTTAAGTAAGGTTAAGTGAATAACCAAAAGAAATAAAACGAATCGCCAGATATATATAAGACCTAAGAAACAGAAATGAGCAGAAATGATTTAGCATAATGTAAAAAGATGGGTCAAAATAAGATGATAAAATTTATACACAATAATCAGGGTTTCTTATTTCTAAAATCTGTTAGCTGAGTACCCATTCTGAGAGAACACAGGAATTCATCCCTGTTTAGGACATTACATTACACAGAACTTTCAAGTCCTTTTCATCTCAAACATCGAAATCATTCTGCCACTTTTTTGGTCATTCACATTTCTCCTCCGCTATCACACACCAGCTGTGACAGTTAACCATGTATCAGTACTGGTGTCCATTTCAGCCCTGTGATTGTGAAGAGGCTGAGGCACGACTACATGCTGTGGATATGCCACAATCCTTCTCTGGGTCCCTCTCTCTCCACTATTTAAGCAATATACTAGATGGGAAAGATTATAGTTCATTTCCCCAGCATCAACACTGTGCCATAAACATACTAGATACTCAAAAAGCAGTGCTATTCTTACCACTAATAATGGTTACTACTGCCCAGCCTAAACTCCCAAAGTCCATTCCCCCTTTCGGTGACCCATAAATGGTAAATTCAATCTAGTCAAACTGCATGTTTGGAATAAAACTACCACCTATTAGAAAAACTACCACTATTCAAAAAAGTTAAAGAATAAGTGGTTTAAATAACCAAATACTCTCTGTTTTAAATGTTAGTGCAAATTTCCTTCCCAAGGACTCCTCTTTGAAAAATATGTTTTATTGCTAAAAGCCCTGTATTTCAAAATCTAAAACAATGACACAGGGTACTCACCTGGACAATTTTGGGCCTTTGAAGGAAAATCTCAGCAGGAAAATCTTGCATGATAACATCCTTCAAGAGTTCACAGGTATTCCAGATTAAAGTGTGGTTATTACTTCTTAAAGAGCTACAAAATACAGTATTATTTATTTTTAAAGAGTTCACCTATACCAGACCCTAAGTAACCCGGTGGCATGATGTTGTTAAAAATCCTTCTGGGCTCAGCTGAGCCAACACTTCCCCCTGGAAACC